CTGGTGAAAAACAATTCCAATCCAAGCGCTATGGTCATTGCCCGGTGTTATTTTACGCTAGACTTTGCTAAAATAAACTTTCACTTTACATGCAAAAAGCCTTACCGCTATAATGTAAATAAATAAAATTCTCTTGTGACCACAGGGTATAGGCTTTTTAGTGAAATTCAGTAAGCTTAAATCTACTCATTGCCACATTTTGTTAAGCTCGTTCCATGTTAAAACGTTTCATATTCATTTTGCAGGACATTGTATTATGTTCAAAACAAAACTTTGTTGTTGTTACATTAATCCCCCAAACTTTATTACAACATATCCTTTACATTATTATCAAATGAAATTAATTATTCTACAGTAATAAATGAAATAGTATAAAAAAATACAATTTTCATTTTTTGCCGATGTTTCGACCTTTATTCGGGTCATCTTCAGGGCCGGGGTGAATTGGAAAAAATTCAATTTAAGATTTAAATATAAATTTTGAACCAAATATTTCATACTCACATAAATTGTGCTGCTATTCTTGTGATGTCATATTAGTTTTGTTATTATTTATTCGTGTGGTATATGAAATAATACATATTTGCAATATATATTAGCGCAAATTTTAGGAAAAACTTTTTAAAAAACTCTAACTCTTAGGAACATTAGTTTTGTGTAAAACTGTTGGGAAACGTGAATTTCTGCCGTTTATTATGATGGTGACAGGATGGGGACACGGTAAATTTTCCAGATTTCCGGTAACATTCCGAAAGAAAATTCTCAAATTTACCTCGCCACCCCCCGCCCTAACGGAATCATATAATATTTCACACAAAACCAATATGACACCACAGGGATAGCACCTCGCTTTATGTGATTATGAAATACTTGGTTCAAAATTTATATTTACATCTTAAATTATATTTGTGCCAATCAACGTGTTTTGTAATTTACCCAGGCCCTGACAATGACCCGAATAAAGGTCGCCTCAATGAAAAACGTGTTTTTCTAAAGTACCTCATTTTTGATTCTCCTCACGACTTCAAGAAATTAAGTACATAACAACGTTATGATAAAAATAATAGTGAAATTATTTTCTACAACTTAATGTACAATAGTAATTAGTAAAAAATAATTACAAACGTTAACATTTTTTCAGTTCATTTTGTTGTCAATGTTTCTTAGAAATCTAACCATTTTTTTGATGTTTTTCAAACTTAAATCAAAGTAATTAATTAATTAATGTAGCAATAATTTATTTAAAGAAGTAAACTTAATTAAAAGTTTGTTCTTGGTGTTTTCAATCATATCACATTCTTTTAGATATTTTTGAATAATTGAATTTCCATTGATTAATGCTTTAATAGCCAATAACATCAATAAATTTCATGTGCTATAATGTTTTGGGAACATCAATGTTTGTTGATGTTTTGTTTGGTTGACTTTTAACTACGATACTTGTGGTTGTTGTTTTCGCAATATATTTTTGATTTCTGATGTTTGTGTTATATATTTTTAAAACATTAATACTTCTGTTCGAGGTCTTTTTCGTTAAAACTCAACATCAATGTTTATGAATACAATATAATACTCTTTGTTGGTAATTTGTAGGTACGTCAAAATGAAACAAAGGTAAACATTAAACGATGTTCACGATGTTGATTGAGACGATTTGCAGAAAACTTTGTTTGTGTTTTGTGTGCTGTATTTTATATTTAATTGGCTAGTGAAACAAGACAACTTCACCCGCTTCCTTATTCCACCTGCGCCATTAATTGCGGTTTAATTAAGCGTTCCAAACACGCCGCGGTGCCCATGTAAGCGTATAATTTACAAAATTAGCCCATCAACCTCTAAGAAAACCGAACTTCATCGTTAAGCCACACAACCCGAAGCCGTTTGAAGCTAAAGCCAGAAACATGTTGCATTGACAACAAGAACGAAAAATAAATTTTAATTTGCTGGTACCGATTACCGACAATTCAACTTGAAGTAGTCGAAGTTAAATTTAAAAAGGAACAGCAGTGTAAATAATTATATGCGAATTTGACATGTGCAGTGTGGAGTAGTTTTCAGCAAAGGAACGATTTAAAATCTCTTGAGAATTGTAAAAGTGTCAGATGTAAACTACTCAAATTCAGTCTTTGATATCGTATTGTAAACCGTTTTTTCACAATAATTAAACATATCGCATGTCCGATCATAATGGGAAACTAGTAAATCAATTGATCTGTTTCTTCTAAGTAATCATCGTTTCAATTCCCTTCACGGATGATACGAGCCTGACGTGACTCAGCTAATGATCGGTCGGCACACCTTATCCAACGGTTATCGCACTAAACCCACTTTAAAACCAGAAACACACTTACCCGATGCTACGCCATGCGACGCTACCCGATGCTACCCGACGCCTTGCCACGTTTTGGTGGGGTGTGCACATCTATCCGACGCAAGCACACGTCGCGTAAAGTCCACAGCGTTTATCACAATAATCACTATCACAATCGCAACGCATCTTTTGTTCTTAATGAACTATTTTGAGCAAAACCTTGTAATAAATTGTTAGTTAAATTTTATGAGCACAACCATCTAATAAATTGTTTGTTAAACTTAATTGTTTTAAATAAAGTTACTCCTAACCATCTTAATTAAACAATGTTTATAAAAACATACGCATTTTTGATATCGTTTAATTTGGTTTACATTAAAATAACATGTTGTAATTAATATAACGAAAAATTACATTTACTTAGTTTGAAATAAACTACAAAAAATATGACTGTCCTGTTCTGATGCTACCCGAAATTACAAAATGGTGTAATTTTACGAACGAAACTATGAAATAAATTGTTAATTAAATTTTATGAGCAAAACCGTGAAATAAATTGTTCCAATTTTAGTATATGTACCGCTGAAGCGAGTACAATAAATTGTTAGTTAAATTTATTATATCAAAAAATCGTATTCCGGTGTTTTGATTAATTTTCTACCAAACCATTAAAATTAATTTTTTACATAAAAACTAACTAATTTTTTATCACAGTTAATTTGGTTTATATTAAAATAAGTATGTTGTAATTAATATAACGACAATAATACATGTAGTTTGAATAAAAATATGAGTGTCCGGTTCTATTGTCTTCGACTGTACTCGATGCTAACCGACGAAAATCTGGACAGTGGGGATCGCAGAGCGTCGGGTAGGTTAGCGTGGCATAGCATCGGGTAGACGTGACGGAGGTAATGCAACCTTATGAAAAATCGGAGCTTGGATTTGCGTCGGCTACCATCGGGTAAGTGTGTTTCTGGCTTAACTTTTTAAAATAGAATCCCACCGGTTTGTATAGAATTATATTGCTTCAAGATTTTATTTTTTATTTTTTTAATAATGACTTTTTACTTTCAAAAGCGATACCTTTTTAAAAATAAAGATTACATTTCACAAAAGTGTGTATTTGGTTGTCTCCCTAGTGGAAAAGAGTGGGTCAAAGAATTTTCAAACAACCTATAGAATAAAATAAGAATAATAATATTATCAAGATAAGATAATACAGTTTTTTTTAATAATATGGATTTCTCTTTATATTTAGTTAATTTATATATAAAGAGAATTCGGTTTAATTCAAATAAGGTAACAAACTTGCATTTGACAGAGTCAATTAAACAAACTTCACCTCAATTTCTACTTTGATTATAGTCAGATTTGGCGAACATGAAATTCAGATTTGAACTAAACGGATAAAGAAACGATTTTTCAGTAGTTGCTTTTGGAACTTGTTACATCGAATAAATGGAATATCGCCTCTAGGAAAGTTGATTGATAATACATCTTTATTCAATGTCAAAAGGTGCGTAGTGCAGTCCTAGGACACTGAAGAAAGGAGCGGGCACGGTTAGATTCATCAAAATTCTTCGGAGACAAAGTGCTGGGGGTCTGGAATTTAATATAGCGGAGGAATTTGTGGGCTTTAGAGAGGCAGCTGGGTCGGTTTGACCATGTCCCCCGCTCCCTTCCTTGGGGATTAACTCTATAGAGGTAATACAGCTTCCTCCTCTTCCGGTATTTACTCAAACATAAAAACTAAAGAAAAAATAAAAAAATTCAGTTGCGGCAAAACTTTTTATCAGATTGTGCCTTTCAGAATTTATAAGGGCAATTTGATTGAAAATTGTTATCCGGTGGTATATGGACGTGGGCAGCCCGGATATAAATCGTTTCTGACCAATATCCGATTTATCATTTATAAAAACTGGTTTTTGTCAGGTTTTTTCAACCTGAATTACGATTAAATGTATTATAAATTATATTTACAATTATTATTTTCTATTTAATTCAACTTTTTTCACAAAATAAACTTTTTTTGCTTAATTTAAGATAATTAGCAATGTGTGCTATTAGAGAACGTTAATTAATGATTATTTGGAGTTCGTGAGATGCGGTCTGGTAAATGTAGGTTTAGAAAAACATTTTCTTTATCGTGCCAACGTTATGATCTTTATTGAGATCATCTTCAGGGCCTGGGATTTACAAACCTAGTTTAAAATTAATTAAGGTTTTTCGTTGAGATAAAAAAGTCAGTGTCACGAGCGGGATTCGAACCCACGACCTTCGGCTAAATACGCCGCTGCTCTACCACTTCAGCTATCGTGACTTCTATCCACACGGACACCAACTCTCCATCTCAACCTACAACCGTTCGAATTTTCCCTCTTTTTCCCACTTTTAAATGACGTGTAATCGGGTTGAATCTGTTCGATACTTTGTTAACTGAACAAAAATGAATTTCAAATATTTAAATTGGATTGATGAAGCAAAACACATTGAACTGAACTAAATGTATTCGAATTCGTAGCATAGTAAATTACAAACTTAATTTACTTTTTTTAAAGAGCTTATAGTTATTTCTGTAATATTCAAACCTTATTAAAAACCCATTAGGTTTCGTGGTCCGATTGACCAAAATTCTTTTCAAATAATTAAGCTTTAAGTGAGGTTTTGATTTAGATAAAAAAGTCAGTGTCACGAGCGGGATTCGAACCCACGACCTTCGGCTTTGTACGCCGGTACTCTACCACTTGAGCTATCGTGACTTCGATCCACCCGGGCGGTAACTTCCTTTCTCAACCCCCCTTTTTGAATTTTCCCTCATTTTTACAATGAATCTAGTTTAAAATATACAAATCCATGTAAGCTGTGAAAAAATGTTGAATATTCCCAACATCACAGATAACACATAACGTAAAAGATTCATTTTATTTCATTAACAAAATTAATAACATTCACATCCCCTCACACTACTCCATTCTATCCCTAGGTGCTTCCTCATTGCTCACCAACATTCCAATAGACACACAACACTGAACATTATTAAAGGCCCAACATAACACCACGCACAAATTTTTCAAATAACAAGTTCATAACAATGGTTCGACACTGCTGTATTAACGGATATTTTACATATAACAATAAATTTTACAAACAACTATTTGGCATAGGCTTGGGTAACAACCTAGGCCCGATACTTACACACATAATTATGACAATTCTAGTAAACACAGTTATACCTCAACTTAACTACGAAGATGATATATTGACAGCAGTCCCCACAGATCAAATTCAAACTACATTAGACACATTTAACAGTTTTCATCCACGCCTAAAATTTACATATGAAATCGAAAACAACAAAACAATACCATTTCTAGATACACTCGTAATAAAACAACCAGATGGCACATTAATCACAGATTGGTATCAAAAACCAAGAAACACAGATCGGTAGATCAACTTTACATCTCATCCTCTTCATGCAATAATAAACACAGCCAAAGGGTAACTTCACAGAATTATTACCCTAAGCCATGAACCTTTTCACCACAAGAAGATAAATATATACAAACATATCCTACATAACAACGCTCAAGTAAATAGTTTCGCAATTTAACAAGTGAAAGCATTTTATCAGTAAACGGCTTGATTTTTCCCCTGTTTGTTCATGGTAAAGAAGAAATAACCGAACGAAATCACTTCCTTAAACATATAATCAACAGAATAACCAACAACTATAACTCAACACTAACACCATTTACTACTAATTATAAAACTACTTCAATTCTTTCAAATACAGACAAACCAACATACATATCCATGCCCTTCATTCACGGCCTATCACATAAATAACAGAAGAACACTTTTTCTCATCTGATAACTTTAAAATAGCTTTTAAAATCTATAAAACAATTCACACACTTTTTTCTAAAATTACAGTTCTCACACCAGTAACAAATAAGTCTGATGTAATTTACAAAATCAACTGGTTAAACTGTCCGACAACTTCCGTTGGAATTACATCCCAATATCTGGATAAGAGGGTAAAGCAACATATCTCTGATTGCAACAAACCCAGACAAAATCCTACAGCACTGGCTACCCACCATTTGGAACACCAACACAACTTCGATTTCAACAATCCAAAATTATTACACACAGGACAAAACAAACATAAACGTAACTTGTATAAATGGTTTACATCATCAGATATATATATATATATATATACACAGTATCAATTACAGAACAGACACATGCAAACTCAGTCGCAGGTACGCTAATACCATTAATCAAATTCAATGTCGATAACATACATTTATCATCACATCACATATATATAAACACATATATAACATATAACATATAAAACAATCATCACATTCCACACATCAAACATTTCTACATAGTCTAATTCTTCAAGAATTTGGCTTTCCTTTCCCTAATTATCCCCGCGTATATAATCCTGAAAGGATAATCCGGCCGAATCATTCCCCATTTTTTCGTATTGCCGGCTCCTTTCACCTCAATGATGTCGACTCCTCATAAGAAAAGGAAAGGATTGTTCAGATCATTTTAGATAGTGGGTAGTAATGACTTTTGAAAATTAATCTGAGTACTTTTAATTTAAGGTCGGGAGTTTTGTGACTTGCGTAATAGGCAGACCTCCGCTCAACTCTCTTTGAACAGAATGGTTGATGTAATGTTTTCCATTGTTAGTTTATTTGTTCTCCGTTTAAGTGGTCTTGTAAGTTGTTGGCTCTTAAATCTTTTAAGGATTTCGGCAGATTCTTGTTTTTGTCGTGAAAGTCTATTTGTAAATTTACACTATCCCAATTTTTGCCATGCCGTTTTGTTTTTCACTTTGTGCAACTATCTTTGATAAGTTCAATGTGTTTTTAACGCTGTAAAAATTCAAGCTAAAAGACGTAGATTGTGACAAAGTAAGAACTTTGGGAATTGGTTTTAGCACTTACATGATCTTTATAAAGTAAGTTGGGTTGTAATGGTCAAAGTGGTTTTGTGTCTAGAAGTTATATGGAAGTTATATCCAAGCCTCCTGTTCAATTGTTGTCTATTTAGTCTTGCGAGGGGATTCCAGGCCAATCAAGGTATAGCAAGTATTGTGAAATTTCCTCCAGTGGTTTGCTAGTCAGAAGCAACAGCGAAGATGGCAAACCAATCCAGGAAGGATAAACATACCAACATGATTGAAAAGGATCAGTTCATTAAGTATCTTACTTGAGTTGAATTCGATAGCTCCTTACTGTTGCTGTACAGTGGAAAGCAAGTCGGGTATTTAAATCGACTAAAGAACACTGTGTTTTTTTTCTCAGACTTTTACACTTTCCTTTGAGAAGGATGTGATCTTGTATGTTAATATCTGCTTGGACTAGATTGAAATAGAAATAAAAAATTGCGGCATCGCTTGCGTAGGTTGTTACGATAGTGTTGAGATGTATAGGTAAGTAAAGCATGAAAAAGATAAACAGTATGGTACAAAGTATTCACCCTTGTGAGGTGACGGGTAGTTTTGTAATAATTTCAGATTTTCTTTGTAGCACATCACCCGAAAGCAGCGGTCAGTCAAGTATTTTCGGTTTATACGTATAGAAGTTTACTGCAGATTTCATTGAAAGCATGGGCCACATGAAGGATAGCCTCCAAGCAGTTTTTTTATTCTTCTGGAATGAGATTTATAGACTAACTGCGGAAAAAGAGAATCTATGGAGCCATCATACCATGTATTCCAATAAGAAAAATTAAAATTCTGTACTACTCTGTCACTCCTCAGGTTCAACTACAATTCGATTGATCCTCAGACGAAATGGCATCAAGGAATTACCCAAGGAGAGTGGTCTCAAATCGCATTTTTCTAGAGTGGCCTCGTTTAGAAAATGTTCGGAAGGAAAGCGGTTGAAAGATAGCGCCGGCCGAGGAATTAGGATTCATTGAACAGTGTGCAATTAAATATAATGCAGCTAATAATTGCTAGCCATACCAAGACCTTCCATAAAATTGCAAAACTTGACGTGACTAAGCTATCTCGGGTTTTTTCAAATTTTAGATTTTGCATAACTGTTCACCATAAGTATTGAAAATAAAGGCAACTGGAAAAAATAAAGTAATAAAGACAAAACAGTCTCTTATGGAATACGCATGGCTCGAAGTTGGAAAATAGAACAGGTATGGGCATAAAGTGACCTAAATTTGGACATCGAATGCCCCCCCCCACTAAACTATATTTCAAGTGGAACATGGTTAGCCATGTGCGCATAAAATAAATATTTAACACCTCATATAGACAACAATAATAGTTCTTTCAGGTAGCAAGATAACTCTAAAGGCTCTCCAGAGTGACGACATGATGTTAAAACTATGCTCTAAAACAAACTGTATTTAAAAACAACCCAATGCTAAAGCAGGTACCAGGGCTTGAGGGAATTTCAGTCTAGATATATATTTGCTTAAAAGGAAGCCATAGACCTAAACGCTTTTTGTGGCATAAACTACAGCCATACAAAAACCTAGAATCCAGGGTTACTACAGAACACAAATACTGGGAACGAAAACCAGGCATGAGGCAAACCAAAATGCTACTCGCAAGAATAAACCGATAGAAGAAAGAGGAAAACCTACTTAACAGAATTTAAAAAAATCTAACTGGCATATGTGCACGCTCCAGTCAAGTACCAACTTACAAAATTAGAACTTTTACCTGATAACAATTGACGATTTTGTCTAGAAGAGACATAGATGACAGGACATATCCACTGCCATTTTACCCCTGGAAAACCGTTCTTGAGCCAGGCCGACTTCGATAACAAATACAGAAAAACAATTCTTGACTTTATTGAAGAACGAAATACTTCCAGGAAATGTATTAACAGAGATTGATAAAATATAGGACGTTTAAGTGATAATGGGAAAAATCCATACGACCCAAAATGGGAAAGAGAAAAAATTGGCATAAGTGTTGCGCCTTGACCAATAACCTACATAGGATACTGAAAAACACCGACACTTACAGAGGCCTGCTCAGCTGCTATTAACACCCAGAACAAGTACTGAATATGGCGAAAAGCCAGAACACGTTTACCAGACCAAAACCACAAGGATAGACAAAACAAAATGATCTAAACAAACAACCTGTTCATCATCATAACATCCTAAAAGAAATTTTAAAATAACAATATTTTGAATTTTTTTACTCTAGTTATCTCTTTATACAACGATTTATTACTAAGTTTCTCTGCAGACATCAATTTTCATATGATGCCTTGTTCCTGGCTTTTGTTCTTGGAAGGCGTTGAATTTCAAGAGACCACTGTTCTAATATGAATGCTTTCATCCCGGGAGTTAACTTTGAACACATTCCAAGCGGTGCAGCCCCATCCAAGTTTGTACACACTCACTTATATAAATTAAAACAAATGAGCAAGCGACAGAAAGTAGATATATCGTCGCTTCGTTCAAAGCCTTGAACTCGCCCCACTTCCATTCGCCAAATGTTTGATATAAGTCTTGCCTAATAGTAATAAAGATTGCGGGTAGAGGTCAACGTTGCCAAAATCGGAAAAATCTAGATTGTTTTTCAGGCAAATTGAAATCAGTGTTGTTTTTCTAATACCACGACCAAGTTCTCATTTCTAAAACGCTTCCTATATATAGATTAGTAAATATTTTCCATTATTTGATATGTTATCTACAAAACCTTTTTCTTATATTTTTAATTATAAATCAATTAATTAAGATTTTTAGT